ATTTCACTGTTGACTCTTGTAAAGAATTTCCTGGGACAAAAAGACATGCATATAAATCCTTATCCAAAGATATAAATAGAAAAGTTAATAATTACTTTATTTCCAATGTTTTTCCAAAGAGAGAGATAAGCATGAATTTAAAAAATAGTCCTGGGTCCAGCAAGTAGCATGGTGATTTAGGCACTGAACGCTCACACAGCTGTCTGTGTGCCAGTCCCGTAACTGGCGACTTGAAAACTGTGTCAGGTGCATGTGTGGGGGTGCTCGAAATCCCAAGAGCAGAATAGAGGAGAAAGAATTGAGGCATGGTCATCCCCGCAGGAGTGATTTCTCTGTTCTCTCTCAGTCTCTTTTCTGTGAGCGCATATGCCCTATGGCTAAAACCAAACCAAAACAAACAACAACAAAAAAGAACAGTTCTGGAGCCAGATGGTGGCACAATGGTAAAACACAACACTTGTGGGAAAATCCCAAGTGAGAAGGTTCCCGGTTCAAACCTGGAGATCTTCCTGAGCACGTCAGTGTATTGCCCACGATCTGCGGCGGGCTGAAGACCAACAGTCAATTGTAGTATTGTAACTCTGTTGGGGCCATATCTTTCTGTATGTGTGTGTGTGTGTGTATGTGTGTGTGTGTGTGTGTGTGTGTTTCTTGCTCATGGAAGAAATATACTTTAAAAGTAGAAAAAAAATGGCCTTTATTCAGTGAAATCCATTTTTCTCCCTCACCTGTGATTCTTGAAAACAAACAGAAATGAGTAACATCTCCATGAGATGAAGTCCTCTTCCCACTCTCTCAGAAGTCTGCCCAGAATCTGAGATTTTAAATTTATTCTTCCCTGTTGTCTCAAAGCCTACAGACATCCAGACAGATTAAACTAGTCCTGGATTTATCTCTGTTAAACCAGAGTCATCTAGGATTCTGGTAATGGGTTAGCCATTTCCAGAAAATCAACGAGTCTGAAAGCAGATTTCTAAATCTGGACCTATTCAATTAAACACAATTCCGTAACTGAAAGCTGTGATGTCACACAACTAGAAATAGCTTTGACATTTGCAATTACAAGTCTGTCTTTCTGTTTTGAAGATACTGCCATTATTTTCAGAGCTAAAAGGGACTTTGGAACTTGCTTAGCTTAGTTTCCTCATTTTTCAGATGAAGAATCTGAAACACAAGAATATAAATACAGAACAAGGATTCACTTGATCCCTAGGTTACTAATCTAGCACCCTCTTCTTGCAACACACAGTCTCTTTCTATTAAAGTGCTATAATCAGATGAAATTTTGTGAGGTATCAAATTCTTTATACTGAGTCCTACTGGATATTTATGTTTAAAATGAGCTAAGTCATTAACTTATTTGTGAAAGAGGAAAGTTTTAAATCATAGGCATGCCAGACAGTGCTCACCACCATTTTATAAATGCCCCATAACTTCATCTGGGAAGAACATTCTTTCTTGTTGACAGAAAATAATCCATCATGGGTCTTCATTTTCACATGTTTTAGTGCTATATGATCATTTAGCTTTTTAAATGGCTGTAATAATTCTGCCTCCTTTCTTTCTCTCTCTTAAAAGAGTAGTTGTCCTTCATGTACTCATTTCAATGGCTTCAAAACCTGCTTCTGCTATATAGTAAAAGGATTACTTCTAGTTCCATCAGTTACAGATTCTGCCAGCAGTACCCTGTGTGATTTACCCAAATGCCTCCAGATCTGACCAACTGGAGAGTTAAGCATTTTCAGAATCTGCACAATAGCTCTGTGGTACAATGACTGATGTCAGCTCTGACTTTGCCAAACATCTCTCAACACTACTAGATGTATCCCATTCCAAACCATTGGACTTGCTCTCTCTGGAGCACACCCCCTTCCACATATTTGCAGTATGGATTCAACAATATGACAATCATTTTCTTTTCTTAAAGTGCCACTGCTGCAATAATAAAAATAACTTGTTACTGTTGTCACTGCCTGATTGGGGGACAAGAGAGAGGAGAAAGGAGATGTTGCAGTAACTAGTCTGGATATGTTTAACACTCTGTCTTTCCCCAAAACGATGCTAGTCTCCTGACCTAACCCCTGGTTATCCAAATTCCCTGAGACTAATGTTTTTATAGAGAAAAATAACAAGCGAATGCTGACCTCCATGCTGAGGCTATGGTTTTTAACTTGCTTTAGGCTTGAGCCCTGAAATATATTGGCAGCTACAAATACAGGCTTCTGTGAGTGTTGTTTTCTTGACTGAAGGGGAGGGGAAAAAAAAAAAAGGTACAGAGTTGCACAAAATAGGCCATGGCATGCTTTCCATAAGCTTCTAGAACAATTGAGGGAACATATTAAACAGCCAGGCAACCAAACACACACTTAATAGTATGGTAACGTGCATCAGGAAAAAGTTATTCTAAAGCGCAGCATCAAGAAAGAGTTCTCTCCCCACTTACTTAATGCTTTCCTTATGTTCCCTCTGAACAGAGTTTATTCCTTGACAGTCTTCTCTTGCCCACTGCATCTAGCACTTCTTTTCTGGGATGGCTCAAGAACTGTAGCTTCCCACTGGGTTTGTTTATTTATTTACACTGCCATTCCTGTTCTCCTCCAAACTAACATGTGTCTGTACAACACAACGAAAAGTAAATGTCTTTCTTCATGTGTATTTCCCTGAAGTTGCTCACCAAATTGTTTTTTCACATCCCCTTTGCAATCTCATCCCATCAGGCTCAAGTATCCTGGATTAGAAAGGCCTTCTCTGGAGTCTTTTTCAAAGGGAGACTCCCATAGCCTTTAAATCCCCCACATTTTATGGTGCAGATATTCAGGATCTGAGGTATTAAGCAAGAGGGAAAGCAAAGCTGATGGGGACAGACACAGAAAAATAGAGTAGCTTCTTTTTTGGATAATCATTATTGCAATTGTCCTGTTATCTGTTACTTTTCTAGTTCAAAGTGATAAACTCAGTCATTTATAACTAGACATTATGCAACAGATAAGGGGACTACGCTCTGTGTGTGTGTGTGTGTGTGTGTGTCTGTGCACGTGCATGCTGTGTATAGAAAAAGTACCACCACAGAAAGAGAAATGTTGTAGACTGGAATTCTTAAAAGTAAGACAAAAATCATAATTTTGATGGGCTTATTGCCTTTCTCACAATATACTTGAAGAAAACTATGCATACTTTCAAAATTTCAACACAAGTATGCAAAGTAATAAATGATATTTAATTAGGGAATTAACTTTGACAGCCCAGTCTCTTGGATTCTAACTGTTAGCCTTTTGAAAAGAATTCAATTTCACTTTTCCTTCTTTTTGTATCCAGGCTATTTAATCTTCTAGATCCTAGTTTTGTGATGTCCAACAAATATACCACAGCCTTATATCCAGAGACACACAATGATTTGTAGCAATGCAAGCTTGCAAAATAGGATGACTAGAAGTGACAACCTCTTATTCTCCCTTAATGTACCAGCATAAATGGAAGGCAGTCCAGTAATGGGGATTACACATGGAGGATGGAAAGAGAAATATTGCACAGATCTCATTTGTTTTCTCAAAAGGCTTTAGTGACGTTTAAAGCCTAAATTATTGGACCATAACAATTAGCAAGGCGTCTATGAACCAGAAGTGTTTCAAAGTGGCTTTTCAAAAGCTTGCTGCTGTATAAACCTGTAGCTCTCCAGAATGCAGCCCTCCAGATATCGTTAAATACAACACACAGGGCAGATTGATATTAAGATCACTTTGAAGCCTCAGACTAGCAACTAGATATTGTAGTTCTTGAGTAACTATGAAAAGTTCAGTATGGGCTTGTGCTACTGGAGATCAGAGGTAAGAAGCTCACCATGGACTGATAGCAGCCAGGCGGCCTCTCATCTCCGACTCCTGGTGGGCTAGGCAACCATACTCGCTCCTGCCACGGCCCCCACTTGCACTGGCAACGTGAGATAGTAGTGGACCTTCCCCAACTTCCCCCTAAGACTGGGTAAATTTTCTATATATTGTTCCCCGTTCCCCAGACGCAAAGCCAAAATCCACAGCAGACCCTCTCAAGTACTTTAGGAGCCGGAGGGTGAGAGAGAGCGCCTAGCGAGGACGAGCTAACTACGAAGGGAATTGTCTGAGGGGAGAACTCTTCCGGAGCACAGCAAATGGTCGGTTTGGAAAGAAGTCACTGCCCAACTGCAATTCCAGCCAGACGGTCCAGAGCACTCACACCTCTGGACCCTCCCCTCTCTGAGCAGGTAAACCGCGGCGGAGCTGCCTGACAGCCATTGAGTTTCCTCCGGACCACCCGTCCCGCGCGCAACTGCTTCTACTTTTACTAAAAGGAAGAAGGAAAGAAGCATCAGAGGAGACGCTCAGGAAAGCTGGAAAGGAGTCCGCAGCCAGAAATCCGCCAGCGGTCTTCAGAGGGGGCGAAGGGTGAGGCGCCCTGGGACCGGTCGTTGCGCGCTGGGGTTGGAGTGGGGACGCGAGGGTGCACGGGTTGCTGCCGGCGAAGAGCCGGGTGCGCCCCGCCTGAGGCTGGGGAGACCAGCCGGACTCGGGGGAGAACTCTCGCCTGAGTACCTTCGGCCTCAGCACTCCCGGCCCCAGCGCGCCCACCTCTCCACGCCTTTCCGAGGGGCTCTTCGCACACAGTGTTCCCCCCTACTCCCCTCCCCGGAGCTCGCATTCTCCCGCGGTCTTTGCAGTGTCCAGAGATGCTCCGCCGCAGTCTCGGGACCCCTTAGGCGCCTCTTCCCGTCCCTGTGCCAAATCGCAACGCCTGTACTTTTCCAGCTCCCTCTTTCCCATTTATTCCCTATCCTGGGGTGTTGTATGTCTCTCCTGATGTGTTCTAGGAGATAATTGTAACTTTTAGGACTTTGTCTCACTGCCAAGCTGGAGGGAGGCCTTTCTTTTCTTCAGATTCTTCCCTGTCGTGCTTCCCATGTTGATTCTAACCCGCACATCCTGTCATTTCCATTTTTTTTTTCTTTTTTGCTTCCCTGTGACCCATCTAGCTACCTGCTGCCGCCCTGGTGGCTCCCGGAACCCTCGCTCGCGGCAATGACAGCAACCCCAGCGAAGCTGCGGCACATCAGTGCTCGGACAATTTGAAAGTACAATAGTTGATTTCTCCGTGCACTCACACCGCTCCGCTTGCCATCACTGCACGCCTATCGGATCTGAGAAGTCCCGCTGCTTGGGTTTCCTCTCCCTATACGCCCAACACCTACATAGCTTTTACAAACATTAAATATAATTAATAATCAAAAGACAAAGGAGAAAAGGAAGGGAAACATTACTGGGTTACTATGCACTTGCGACTGATTCCTTGGTTTTTTATCATTTTGAACTTTATGGAATACATCAGCAGCCAAAACGCCTCCCGGGGAAGGCGCCAGAGAAGAAGGAAGTGCAGGGTTTTTTACGCATTTGCTCCCTCCCGCCGCGTTCACCTGTCGGGTCTCCTTGCCCGTCGGGAGTCAGCTCCCAGCCGCAGCGGTCCCCCCACCTCGCACCGCACGCTTCCCAGGGGAGATAACAGTTTGAGCTCTGGGGACCTGGGGACCTGGACGGCGTCTTCCACCCTGGCGGCTCCGCGAGCCTTTCTTCCCCAGCATCCCAGCGGGTGCCGCAGTCGGGCAGGCCGGGCGCCCTGGCGCTCCCACCCCTTGGTAACTGAAGGTTCGCGGGAAATTTCGGTCCTTCTAAATCGTTCTAGGGGTTGTGCTTTCCTTTCAGGCTCTAAAAAGGGCCTCGAGTTGCGGGCAGCTGAGACGCCGGGGTCGAGGGATGCCCCTGACCGCTAGGCAAACGCCGCGGAGGTGCGGGCGCGGCACCCTGTCATCTCAGCAGGGACACCTCGGCGGAGCCCGCAGGTACAGCGCCCGCCAGCCGGCGGGGGAGCGAACGCCTGCGCAGCCGCCGCCTCCAACTCACCCCAGCCGGGAAAAGAGCGCGAGGTGCACGATGGCGTGTCCGCGCGTTTGTCCGGCGTCCAGTGCCCCGGGGTCTGAAAGCTGCAGAACCCCGGACGGTGGAGGCCGGAGGTGCTGGGTTTCCAGTTACTCTCTTCTGTCACACGTGAAAGCGTTTACCATTTCAGGCTCTTGCATGAGGGTCCCCTGAGACAGATACATACTGAGGGTCGGGTTCCCCCTAAAGACACGCTCGCCCCCCTCTGGCCCGGATCCTGTTCTTTGGAAAGTTGGCTGGTGACTGCTTTTTTAGACAGTGTCAGGAGTTGTACGGGCACCCAGAGGACTGATCCGTCTTAAAGGCAGAATCTTCTTGACATGAGGAGAGAGTCGTGAGTGTGTCACCTCTCTGGCTCCCTGGGTAGTCCAGCGCGCTCGCTGATCTGTGGTAGGTGCCCTTGTGGGCGACCCTGGCTCCACTTTGGTAGGTGCTGGCTTGGAAAGGAAGGCAGCAACTTCTCGGGGAACACGCTGGGCACAGGGAGAAACCCTATTCCCTTGGCCCCCTTGGACCAGCAGAGGAGCCCTCGCGGAGCCGAAGCCCGTCGGGGCGGGCGCAGGGCAGCTCGGAGGACACAACATGGGCTTGTGTGAGATGGAAATTTAGTAATCGCTTCTCTGCCGCTGTTTGTCTCTGCTCTGCCCTGCTCCTGGGCTTGAGGGGCCCCTGAAAGCTCCCTTTGTACGCTGGCCTCGGCCAGACAAGGTTTGATTCACCTGAAAATTGCCTTCAAAATCGTGGCCGAGCTGGAGTGCCAGGGCTCCGGCCTGGTCTCACCGCTCCCTAGGATCGCGTAGCAGGGGGGCAGGAGGACCTAAACTAAACATGTCAGGGCGTCCGATTTATTATTCTTGGCCTCTGAATGGTTCGTATTCCTTGAAACTCCCCCATCCACTCTCACTCAGGCCATGAGGCCGCCTCCAGAAAGGAGCCAGCGGGGGCTCAGCGGTGCCCTAGCTTCAGGCGGACCCTCCTCCTCTCCCTGCAGGGTTGCTGTGGTGGACCGAGTCGCAAGGCAGGTGGGAAAAGGGAGACTAGTCAGAAGCGCAGCCTCCCGCTTTCCACCTGCCTTTCCACCCCTTTCCCAACCGACGCCCACAGATCATCCCCTCCATTCCATGGAGGACTCCCCGGCCGGGACACACGCACGTGCTTGGGCAGGATAGGGTCCTGAGTGTCAATGCCAGGTGTGTGTCTTCGTTTACAGTGTTGGAGCGCTATTTCTGAAGGAAGACACCCGCAAGAAAGCCGCTGTCCACTTGTTCCCGCCGCGCCCTGCACCGACTGCCTTGTGAGAAGGGGCAGCAAGATGCTGCCCCAGGCATCGGGGCGCAGCGGGGTGGTGCACCTTCAGGCTCGGACCGGAGAGGATTGCAGAGTCAAAGGGGACCTGTTTTCGACCTGCCTTTCCTGTCTCAAGTCTGAGTCAGAGGCGCCTTCTGGTTGTGTTGCGAGGATGAAAGCGGGCATGGCTGGAATTGGGTTGAAATTCCAATGACGGTGGGAGTGGGTCTGGGAGAGAGCTCCGGCCGGCGTTGCTCTTTGCTCTTAGCGCAGGAGTCAGGTTGCTGCTTAGTTTGCTTGGTTTGCTTGGAGAGGGGCGACCCCTTGCGTCCTCCGAGGAGACAGACGAAGAAGTCTTTTTGGCAGGTGCAGTATGACTTTTTAAAGAATGGGGAAGGGGTGGAGGGTAGATTTTTGTTCAGTGTCCAGAAACTCAGAGTCAAGTTGTATGTGCACAAACTTACACGGATCATTTCTTTGAAAACCACTGAAAGAAAACTGTCTCAAATAAGGACTAGGTGAAGATTTTTCGAATGAGGAGTAAGGTAGTGGTCAAACTTAAAACAAGCCTGACTTTTGTACTGTTTTCTTTAAGAAGTAACTAAACTGGATATTTGAAGCATTCCTTATATTTTATAACTAAATATAACTCCACTTCCTTTAAGTCTTAAAATCACAACTGAAGATATAAGAGGAAGAAAATCTTTTACAACGATTTAAAAAATTATCTTATGAGTGTTTTAGTAAAGAAGTTTCTCACAAAGATACTCATTTGCCGAGTTAAATATTTCCAGGTCTAAACAACCATGGCGTATCCTCAGAAATATCAGATAAAACCACGTCAATATTTTGCTCTTTTTCTAAAAACAATCCATATTCATTTGTCTCTACTTCATTACAAACTAGTGATTCTAGTTGTTACAAATTAGTGTTTCCCCTTATAAAGAAACACTTTAAAACAGGACTCTTGCACTCTAGATTTATGTGTATTTAGTTATGGGTGAATAAATACACAATACTTTTTTAAAAATTCTATTTGGATCAATATGTAGTTCTTAGAAATTTACTAAATTGAACTGATTCAAGATAAAATGCAATCCTTATTCAAAAATCCCCCATCAAAAATGCTTTTATAAGTAAACCTTAGCTTTAAGTGCAGGATGCTAAATTAAAGTCCCTGAACACAATTATTAACTAATTCTCAGCTCTTCCTTTGCAGTTGGTTGCATTCAGTCTCTCAAATCCAGGTCATGCATGTACTAACAAAACTAAATATCATCTTTGCTATAGTATTCACCACAATACCTTACGTTTTCACTTGGATTATTCAGTTGGGCCCAAAAATACTACTTGGTGTGTAGAGACATGTGCTAATCCTCCCATATTACAGAGAGACAGTCTGAAAAGCAGGGACTCAGTCATCTAAACAAAGTCATATAGCCAGCAAGTAGAGCTTGTCTTCTGCCATGAATCTCGCTTACACTATATGCAGATCCATGCCATAGAAAAGATATCGGTCATGTTAAGCAATCAATATCATGGTCTTCAGACCATTATTTATCCAATATTTTTTTAACTAAATGAACTGTTCTGCTTAACAGGAAATTTTGAACTGATATTTATATGTATAAAACTTTGGTGACCACTGTCAAAAAATTAAATACCTAATAGTAATAGTGAAGCTTGCTAAATAGAATATAATATTATTTGAGTATCCAGAAAACATTGTAGGATCATAATGTGTCAGAGCCTATTGATAGAGACATCAGATGCTATTTAGTATTCTTTATATTTGAGCCCATATATTTATGGCATTTTAACTATTCAGATTCTAGATAAATGCAAGTTTTGAAAATACACTATTGTGAAATCTATCAAACTTGTAAAAGCCCTTTGAAGTCCAATAAAAAAGAATGGATTACAAAGGCAATTATTTTAATGGTAATAGACTAGAAACGGACTTACTGAAATATACTGGTCATTGCTCACGGCACTGGTTCAGGTGTTGAGCCATTCTTTGAGATTATATCTTGGTAATTTATATTACCAGCCTGTAAAAATAACAAGTTAGCTAATATACATTTTGTAATATTAATTTAGAATGAAAGTTTGGTTTTCATATTGGTTGCAATCCATTTTTTTCTGATTTATCCACATTTGTCACCAGTCTACCCAGGTTTATTATTTTGAATCTTTATTTTATTGCCTGAATGTGCAGGCACTTGCCAGAAAGAGACAGTGAGAGAAAAAGAAAGGCAGATGGAGAAAGTGCCCCCAGTGGGATTTGTTCATGCCACAAATCCTCCTGCTCCATTTCTCCATGCCGTTGAGATGTGGGGAACCAACACCAACATGTCCAACATGATTTTCAAGCTGCTGGAGCTGGAATCCCAACTGCAGTTGCCCATGGGATCTGGCTCCTTTAACCACTATGTTATGGAGCTGACCCCAGTCTACCTTGTCTTTGAGAGAAACGTTTCACAGAGACATGAACTAAATTTCCTGGAAAAACTGTACACTGTGATACATCATGAAATAACTGCACAAATACAAGAAGAATTCAAACTGGTAGGTAGTAGTGGCAACATCTAAATACGAGCAAAAACATTATCCTTTGTAGATTTAATTTAATAATCATTGCACTATTGAGCCATTTCTTGAATATACACTCATTTATAATATTTTTAGTCTCTGCTTATCATTTCAATAGGATTTTTACCAAGAACATTAGAAATGGTCATTTTATTTGTCATATACTACATGCATATTTTGAAAAATCATAATGTGTGCTACGGAAATGATGGAATGTAAATTTTAAATGGTAATTTTAAAATGCTCTCTCTCTTTTTTTTTTTTTGGTCCCAAATCACTATAAGCAATTGGGAATATAAGTTTAAAATTGATATAATGTCATTATTTCAGTATTCCTGTTAGCTTGAAATAGGAACCATACTTCAGCATATAGGTAGATAAACTTTACTAAATCATTTCTCTATTAAATATTTCCCTGGCACTTAATATTATACAAACTAGGTCCCCAGAAAGCAATGAATGGAAATTATAATGCATAGTAAAATTTGATTTTCAAGTTATTATGGGAAACCCTTGTTATATACTACAAAATAAATATTTTAGTCATTTGATCA